CTGGTCCCTCCTTTGCGGGGAGTGTAAACTAGGGTGAAGCCGAACCTTCCTGGGCCCACCTGAATCTCTCCAGATACAAATTCATCCCAACTGCTGCGCAAAAACCTTCCTTTCACCACCCTTGTCTTTTCCCCTCCCCAACACGTTCTTCCTCTTGGTTTTCATATCTCACATCTCCAGATGATCTGTTGTTCCCTCAGACACTAGGACAGACCCCTGGGTGCACCACAGCCCATCAGACGCTAGCCACATCCCACCTAGCCCCTACATCTTCTCCAGCCCCAAAGACTCACCCGTAACCACACCCTCTATCTGGCCCCACTCCCAGCCTCCCACTCTGAATCCCAACTTCCAGTCCAACCTCCCATGGACCCAGAGAGCAACTCAAGCCTAAAGCAAACCTAAGAAAATAAATAATAAAAATTATGGCAGAAATGGGTGAAATTTAAAACAAGTAACCTATAGAGAAAATCAACTAAAACAACTGTTTATTGTAAAAGATCGATAACATTGGTAATTCTCTAGCCAGGATGACAAAGACCAAAAAAACAGAAGATACATGTTAGAAAGATCAGAAGTGATAGCAGATGCATCATCCCTGAGACACTCAGAGGACAGTCATTGATAATAAAGCCTTGCCGGTTGAAAACGAACTGCTGCTGGTTGCCTTTATTCACAGATTTTGAGGTGGAAACAAAAAATTTACCAGGTCAGTGACTGCATATGAGGTACCAGGAGATGTGTTATTTGCTCAAGCTATGAAGCCGCATGAACAGCTGTAATGAAATGCACTCCTGGTTATACTTAGGATAACCCTCTGTCATCCCTGAAGATCTCTCTGTTTTCATCATGGGCCACATAGGTGAACTGGATGTGAATGTAGTGGGAACCACCAACCCTGCGTCCTTCAGTCATTGACAGTGTCACCAACCTCCGTAATCCCTGTAGAAATGCAGTCTTGCTTTTGGTTTATGATTTCCCTAGGTGGGGGTAAGTCCTGGTGACTTCCACCTGGACTTGTCTGGTGTAACATCCCTCATCCACAGGTCTGGAAACCCATGTGGAAATTCTGTCACTTCCTCAGCATGCCTGTCCCAGTTATGCATTATTCTGTAATTGATGAAATACCCAAAGGGTAGGGTCAGGGACCCACGGGACCCACTGTGAGATGGGCCTCGGCCACAACTGCTGACCACCAGGCACTACACTGATTGTTGGACTACAGTCGTGTTTTGGGTCTCTTGTAATTAGTGTCAGTTAAGAACTAGGGTCCAATAATCACCAAAACATCTGAAAACTGACTCAAGTTTATGAATTGAACGATGGGCCAGGATTCTTTGCTTTTATGATTCAAATTATACTTCTCTTCACTGGACCCAATAAGTCTTCTGATTACATAGAAATAATTTAGTCTTTTCCTACCTATTTCTCTTCCAGGAACACCGTGATCAATTAGCCAGCACCACAGGTCTCTGAAGTCAGACTATCATGATTACTGTGTTGACTGTGCTGTCCATTGCAATAACCATGCCCACATTTTGGTGAAATTAGCATCACTTGGCCCCAACCATCTTGGTATCCAAGTATCCTCACTGAATTGAGATTTCCTGCTTCAGTGTCAGCCATTCCCACATAATTTCTGACCTACACAGATGAGGGATCATACAGCTCTTCAAGGACGCTGGTACTCCCCTCACAAATTCATTTCTCCTGTTGTAGTGAAAAGTGCGCCCTCTGGAGCCTCCCAGGGTTGGTGTGCAGGTCATAATGATGAATGTATGATCAAGTTCCCATCACCCAAAGCCTTTAAATCCCTCGTGCCCTGTACACCAGGGCAGGTCTACCACTTCTTCATTTAGTGTATGCCGTCCATTCATGCAACCACCTCAGGACTCCTGGGTTCTCTGCCTGGTTGAGCTCCTGCATGCTGCCTCCTTGGGGAGGAGAGGGAGAGGACCCATGGGTCAATGGAACCTGTGCAGTTGTGACACATTAGGTGCTTAATAAACAGAAGCTGTGATGTTAACCACAAGGGGACGCTGTCTTCCTGTTTGCCTGTGTCTCTCCGTGTGTCTCCAGCTACCTTGTTTTTCCTCTTCCCAATTTTGTCACTGTCTATCTCAGATTCTATCTCCTCTGCTGTTTCTCCATCTCTGGTTTTCTCTTTGTGTTCTTGTGGCAGTTTCTTTTTTAAAGCCCCACCTCTGTCTTGGATGAAACATAATCCTCGTTCACTACACACACTATTCATTGGTATGAATATGCCATTTATTTTTCCATTATCCTATAGATAAACATTTGGGTGGTTTCTGGTTTGAGGATGCTATGAACTCTCTTGTATGAGGATTTTTATGAAAATATGAAGTGTTTCTAGGGGGTATATTTCTAAGATTGATACTGATAGGTCATGCATATATTCAGCTGCAACACATACTGCTAAATCATTTTCTAAAATGAGGATACCAACTTATACTCCCTTAAGCAATGTATGAGAATGTTGCATTGTCTAAAAAAGGCTATTGATACACACCAAATGGAATAAAAATTCTAAAATAGAGAGCTCACCTTGCCACTGAGCAGTCCACTCGCCACCAACTCCCTGGTTTGAGGATACTGGACTAATTTTTATAGTACTTCCTAGTGTCCTGACATTCCTTCATTCCTTCAATATTTCTAATATCCTTTTTCTCCAGGGCTTTGTCAATGACAATTCTAGTTTTCTTTTTTGTCTCGTAGCCTTTCCTTCTTTTGACTCAGTCACACTCTATGGATTCTATTGATCTGAGATTGTTCGGATATTTTAAATTCCATAAAACCTACCTTCAGTCTGGGCACGGTGGCTCATGCCTGTAATCAATCCCAGCACTTTGGGATGCCAAGGCAGGCAGATCACCTGAGGTCGGGAGTTCGAGACCAGTCTGACCAACATGGAGAACCCCCGTCTCTACTAAAACTGCAAAAATTAGCCAGGTGTGGTGGTGCACACCTGTAATCCCAGCTACTAGGGAGGCTGAGGCAGGAGAATCGCTTGAACTGGGAGGCAAGGGTTGCAGTGAGCCGAGATCGTGCCATTGCTCTCCAGCCTGGGTGACAAGAGCAAAACTCTGTCTCAAAAAAATAATAATAAATAAAAAATAAATAAATAAATAAATAACCTGCCTTCAGTGTTTAGTCATGAGTTTCCTCCTCTCCTATTTTTTTCTCTTCCTGAGTCTTTAGTGTCAGTATCTACACTTCCAGCACTCACATCATTCAGTATTTCTTTGACATTTTTCTTTCTCTGTCCTTCAATCTGGTCTAAAATGTCACTATTGCGTTCTTCACCGCTATCAAATTCTATTAATCCATTTTTTTTTACTTTTTTCAACTATTATATTTTTCCTACCTAATATTTCTGACCTACTTTTTCTCATATTTTATGTATGTTAGCCTTGCTCTATATTCCTAGTATCTTTTTTTATCTTTCAGCATGCTTATTAAGTTAACTTCTGATTCAATATAAAATCAATCGGGTTTCTTTCAAATAGTTCATCATTGCAGAGATAATTCCATGGGCTATTCAATCACAAAACCAAACCAGTCCCACAGGTGCACTCATTATCCCCTGTCTTTCCCTGACCCCCTGTACATTACTAAATATCCATTTACAATTACACAGTATAAGGTCAGAAAACAAGATTCAATTTTATTTGCTGCCTCAGTATATCTGTAACCAGGAGTGCCACAAAATCTCCTACTCTTGCCAGACATGTCCCACACCCACTGGAAAAGGCTCCCACCTGGCTACTTCCTCCATCAGCTGAGTCAGCTGCATCCACAAGGTTGTCAGTCTAATGAGTCTCACTACCTGCCAGTCTCAAAACTTAGTAAAGCAAGACCATGACATTCCCCCATGGAAATCAGAGTTCACCCCACCCTCTTGTTACTCTAAAGCCTGCCTCTCACAGTCCTTGCTTCTTCATGCCAATCCTGAGCGCATCCCCCATGTCATCCTGCATGGTGTGCAGTGTCCTCCTGCTCTAGGCTGTGAATCTCTGTGGCTAAGAAACTGTTGATCTCATATCTCCAGTGCTATGTGTGGGGTGTTCAACCATCTTCATAACCCCAGGGTGGGAATTCCTCCCTCACCGATGGTGTGAAAAGAAGGCAAATAAAACAATGATTGAATGCTCTTTGAGTTCAGTGTCATTCCTCTATTTTCCCCTATTTCTGGATTCTTCTTTGTAGGGATAGCTCCATAGATCACCTGATCACAAGACCACACCAAATCCCCAGGGGGGTTTCCTTATCCTCTCCCTTTCCCTCACCCCCTCCACAGTAAAAGGTTAACGCAGCAGCCCTGCAGTGCTCAAAACCTGTACATTCCAAGTAAAGGGCTCATCCTTGAATAACTCCTGGGAGATGATATTTGATTCCTTGGACTGTTCCGCCCAAGTGCCTTGGTATACTTGGGGCCTTGGGCCATGTCAGACGCTTCATGCTAAAAATGGGATTTGTGATGCATGCCTGTTTTTGTACATCTGGGACTCTGGGCCGTGCTGTATCTGTTTGAACTCTAGGGAACCTCAGGTCTGAGGACTTAAGGTCAGTTATTCAAGTACTCCATACTCATCCTACAGACCCCCAGTAAAAACCCTGGACACTAAGGATCAGGTGAGCTTCCTTAGTTGGGATTACTTCATACATATTATCATGTATCCTTGCAGGGAGAATTATGTGCTGTCCCTAAGACTCTACTTGGAGAGAATAACTGTCAGATATGCCCTCCATCCAAAGGGAAAGGCCCCCACCTGGCCAGTTCCTTTATCAGCTGGATCAGCTACACTCCACAAGGTCCTCAGCCTAATAGCTTTGACTTCCTGACAGTCTGAAAACTTAGGAAAGCCAAGTTGCTCATCTTCGTAACTGCAAGTTTTCCTCTGTTTTCTCCACACTGTAATCTATACGTCTGTTTTGTTTGCTGATTTCAATAGGTATCCTATCGATGTAACAAACCATAATAAACCACGGCATGATGCCTCTTTATTTCTGGAAGTCCTGCTAGGAAATCATGAAATCTGATGGTGGCTGGGGGACCTGAACACACCTCCTGTAATTAATCAGCTTCCAGTTTCTCCCCTTAGTCCCTCCTTCAACAATACAGGAGGACCCTCCCCTTCTTTCTGCTCACGGTCTTCTCTAGGCTTCCCAGTGCTCCCAGGACAGAGTGGGTTACGTTTTCAGTGTCATCCTTGCTGTGCGCGTGCCTCATACGTTGTGCCTCCAGCTTATGTTCAGTGATCTGTAGAGAGTGTCCACCTTGTGTCACTGTCCGCTCTTCCAGGGTGGGCCCCACCCCTCCCGTCTCTGTACCCCACAGACAACACGGTCACCCGCGTCCTTGTGTGTGTCCTCACTGAAACTGAGTGAGAAGTCTCCAGACACAGCCAGTGTTCCGAAGGAGAGGATGAAATTACACGAATCTCAGAAACACTGGCCTACACCTGTGTCTGCCCATTCCTTTTCCTAGCGGCCCTGGAATCCACACCAGAGAGCACAGGTCAGTAGGACTCAGGAGGCTCAAGCTTTGGCCAGGTGACTTCCAAGCTTCAGGTGTCCAGCATCCAGAAAGGCCAAGTGATGCCAGAACGTGAGGTGGACTTAAATCTACTAGAGGTAGGGGTAGGACGGGGGCACTCGGGGGTTGGCTGCGATGGTGTCCTTGATCCACTTCCAGTAATGCACCACCTTGGTGTACGCAGCAGGCTTTTCAGGCAGGGCACAAGGCTCAGGGCCCCATGACGTGATACCCTGAAGCACACCATTACAGACAAGGGGACCCCCAGAATCACCCTAAAGGTAAAGGGGGAGAGACACAGTGAGAAAGATTGGCCCCAATATATGCCTAGGCAACTCCATCCCTCAGAACTGTGCAGGTAGATGACTGAGAGCAATTCCCCAGCTCTCAGGGACAGAGAGAAATGTCTCCAGAACCCACTCCCACAAGAGTATGGGCAGGGAGTCCAACAGAGGGAACAAGGCTCCAGTCCTGGCCTATGGGGAAGGGACTTCAGGATCCAGCTCCTGCACAGGGGGCAGGGTCCAGGAGGACAGTCCCTGCAGACAGGTCAGTGGGAGGAGGAGCAGGAGCATCTGCGGGTGCATCACAGGGTCCACCTCTCCAGGACTACTCTCTGACTAGATGTCCCCTCTCCAGGGCATCTGGGAGCCACGGAAGGCCACAGGCAGGGCTGGCCATGGTCAGTTCAGTGATCACAATGACCCACTGGGGCCAGGTGGAGAATGGAGTGGAGGGGAGAGACTGAGGGCCAGGAGACTGAGGGAGGCTGGGTGAGGGCCCCGGTGGGGACAAGGCCTGGAGCCACCCCAGGTCATCCTCATCATCACTTCCCCAGCACCCCGGCTGCCCTCCCTCCCTGCAGTCTGATCCCACAGGGAGGCCAGCAGCCTCTGGACACCTGAGCCAGGCCCTTTCCCGCTTCTGTCCAGCACCATCCCTAGCTCCTGACTCCTCTGAGGAAAAGCAGTGGCCTCCTGCGGCCCAGGGGAGGCCCTCCAGAAGGGGCCCTCTCTTCCCCGTGTGAGGCCATCTCACCCCTTATCTCTCACTCCAGCCATGCAGACCCCTCGCTGCTCCTCACACCCTCCAGGCCCCTCCTCCCAGGCCTGGGCAGGTGCTGCTCCCTCTGCTCCCCCAGGTGCCGCAGGGCTCTGCCTTCCCCTGCGGCAGGTGTTTGCTCACTCCTACCTTCTGCAGGATGTCCCCTCCCAGTCACACTCCCCACCCCTCCTCCCTGCCCCAGAGCCCGATCACTTCCTGACACCCTCCAGCATTTCCGCGTCGTGGTCCCCGTCCCTGCCCCTCACCAGCATGGGGGCTGCTCTCTGTTCAGCTGTCTGTTCACTGCTGCTTCCCAGGGCCTATGGCAATGCTGGTCACGCAGCAGGTGCCCAGTAAGCATGTGCTCAACACAGGAATGGGAGAATTATGCTGTGAGAATCACCTGTTGCGTTGAGGGAGTCAGGGAAGGGGGGAGGAGGGTGGCAGATGAGGCATGGGGAGGGGGCGTGGCTACAACTGGGGAGCAGGGGAGGCAGATGTCTGGTTGGTTTTCAGATCCCAGCCCAGAATTAGGGTCTCCACTCACCTTTCCCCTCCAGATGTTGGGAGTAAGGATGACTCACCCCACAAGTGTCTTTACCACCTGTCCAGAGCCCAGCACACAACATGAACGCTGTCACCTTCTCAGAGTAAGCTCCGGCACACATGTCATTGGACAGGAGATGGAGGTTCACACACTGAAGACTCTTTGGGCGCAGGACTACGGGTCAGAGCAAAAACTGAGCTGTGGCCGGACCCCACCTGGTTCTTTGGCCCCACTTCCCCAGACCCAGGCACCTGGGCTCCCAGCTACACCGTCTGGCCCAGGCGTACACTCCTTTGGTTGGATGCTGCCCCAGCCTGAGGCATAGCAGGTGGTCCCCAGTGCTGGCTCCTGGGTGGGCAGGCCCAGGACCTTCACAGCGTCTGTGATCTTGGCAGGCTCCGACAGGCGGAGCAGCATGAGGTCGTGGCTGGAGTCTTCATCCGGTCTAAGGCTTCGACGCTTCAGAAGGCTCATATTGTAGAGCGGGTGTGGGAAGCTGTGGCTGACAGGGGCCCTCTGGCCGGTGTCTTCAGGCTCAAACAGGTTGTGCCGACCCAGCCAGACCTGGCTATTCCTGGGGAGGAAGGGAGAGAGAAAATGGGGAAAGGTAGATGGGGCAGGGGAGGATAAGGGAGACTCCAAAGGGGAGAAAAAGAAACAGTGAGAAAAACAGGGGTGGGGGAGACAAGTCGTGGTGAAATACAGACAGTGAATTAGAGAACAGGAGTGTGATTGTGTGAGAGGCAGACACAGAAACTGAGAGAAACGAAGTGGAAAAGAGAGAGCACAAAAAGGCAGAGGAATGACAAAAGCAGAGGGGAGAACAGTGAGAATTAGGATGGGCAAAGAAAAGACAGAGACAGTGAGAAACAGACACGGGCAAGAGGAAGGGAGAAGGAACAGAACCAGGAAGGGAGTGAGAGATGGACAAATGAGAAAAGGACACAGGAAGTCAGAGAGAGCAGGAGAAACAGCAGAGAGGAACCCAGAGGTGATACAGTGTGGGAGAGAAAAAGGAGGGAGGCCACGGAGGCACCTGAGGGGTGTGGGGTAGCAGGGGGAGGAGGAGAGGCATGAGGGAGGCTCACCTGAAGCTGGGGCTCAGGGCCGCATCCTCCCTTCTTTCTCCAGCTCCTTTCCCCTTCTTTCGCTTTTGTTTTTGTTCGTTTTTGTTGTTGTTGTTTATTTTTTTCTGAGATGGAATCTTGCTCTGTCACCAGCTGGAGTGCAGTGGCACGATCTCGGCTCACTGCAACCTCTGCCTCCCAGGTTCAAGCGATTCTCTTGCCTCAGCCTCCCTAGTAACTGGGATTGCAGGCATGCACCACCACGCCTGGCTACTTTTTGTATTTTTAGTAGAGATGGGGTTTCGCCATGTTGGCCAGGCTGGTCTCGAACTCCTGACCTCAGGTGATCCACCCATCTTGGCCTATCCAAGTGCTGGGATTACAGGTGTGGGCCACTGTGCCCAGCCACCTTCCCCCTCCTTTCTTGTTTCTCCTTCTCCTTCCTCCCTCCTCAATTGCGCACCCAGCTGCAGCTGAAACCAGCCTTTCCTGTGTCTCCCCAGGATGGAAGGATGTCCTGGAGAGAGTGCTGTGCAGTGACAGGCACCCCCCCTCTCTCACACACACACACACACACACACACACACACACACACACACTGAGCTTAAAGCCCTTCCTTTTTCGGGGTGCTCCCCACCCACTGTCACAGGCCCATCTGGGTGTATTCAGTAGTGATGAGGAAGGGCTGAGGCAGAGACCCAGGAGAAAGACAGGCAAAGAGATGGAGGGTGAGACACAAGGTGACAGAGATGGCTGCAGGGAGATCCAGAGACACACGGAGATGGGGGAGACACCAAGACAGGGAGACAGAAAAAAGAGAGGGAGATAGAGACCAAAACACATACAGACACAACCATACAGACACAACCAGAGCCAGATACCAAGAGACACGGTGAGATCAGACACAGAGAGACACAGGCAGCCATGGGGAGGGTGGTCCGGCCCCAGCCCTGCCTCCCAGTGCAACCTGGGCCAGGACTTTCCCTCTCTCCTTTAGTCTGAAGTCTCACCTAAGAAGCGACCCTGGGGGAAGTATCCAGCTGTTATTCCCGTGGGACACAGACATTCCCTCCCCAGATTCCAGGATCCTACTTACTTCTTTAGACAATGGGCAGCTGTGAGCACCCACTGGGGGAGCACCAGGACACCCCCACAGTGTGCCCATCCATGACTGTACACAGCCGCCTGCCAGGGTTGGGAATGCTTCTCGCACTCCCAGCCTCCCACAATCCGAGCCTGGATGAGGGGCCCGGCACCTGCAGAGGGGTGCTGGGTCAGGGGGATCAGACTCAGAAGAATTGGATAGGGGAGGCAGCTGAGCTGTGGGTTTGAAGAGATATGGGGGCAGAGGACCAGGACTGGGAGTCCAGGACACAAGCAAGGGGTCCTGGGAGGGCTGGGAATTCTGTAGCTATTCCCTGCGTTGGCAGGTTGGTGGCTGGACCAGGTGGGGAGACTTCACGCTCTGAGAGCAGAGCTGACCTGAGATCAGAGTAGGGGACATGGGACAGCATCTGGAGCAGGCATCGGGTTGGGGGTTGGGTCATTTGGAGTGATTTGGGGTCTTACACTGGGAGAAGGGAAACTGTGGTGGAAGCTGTGGGTTCTAAGAGAATAAGGGGTTCCAGAAACCAGGGATAAGTGCCCAGTGGAGAGGTTTAGTTGCTGGGAGAGGAAGGTTTGGGACGGTTTGCCATGTCCAAGGTTAAGCAAACCGTTCTGTCTGGGTTGTTTCTCGCTTTGTTTTGTTTTGTTTTTGAGGTTTTGAAAAGGGTGCAGATTTAGGGCATCAGAGAACTGGCCGTTGTGGTTGGGGATGTGGTTGGGGGTGCTCGTATTTTTCCCATGGAAAAGGCTGGCCATTGAATGAAGAGCCTAGGGCAAAGAGTCAGGGAAGGAGCAGTTTTCAGAGCCCCAGTGCCAGACTGGGGGTGGGGGCAGCATTTGTTGTCTTAGGCCAGATAGCCTTGGGGGAAGAAGGAAGTGTCCGGTGGAATCCGGTGGAATCTCCGTTTCCTGGGACAAGGCTGGGAAGCCAGGTGTCAAGGGCCAGGGCACAGGGTTGAATGCTCACAGCTGAACGGGACAAGTCAGCAGACTGTGGTAGGACTGAGGGGCTCAGGAGGCGGCCCGATGATAGGGTCCAAGGAACCAATGGCATGGAGAGAGGTCCTTGAAAGGTTTTGAGCCCCATAAAGAGAAACACAGAGATGCCCGGGAACTTGCTCTTTAGTAAAGCGGCTGGGAGCAGGGATTTGGCTGGGCAATGGGGAGAAAGGTCTGAGGTAAGTGGGAGGGAGCGGGGACCTAGTGTGGGCATGAGGACTACTGCCGTGTGGAGGAGTCAGGGGCACATTGTCTGGGATGAACTGTGGGCTGAAGGGACGAGGCCGGGGCGCTGGGTGGGAGGGAAAGGGCTTCAGCATAAGAGTCAGAACCCGCCCCCTTTCCTTTATCTGTCCATCTCACCAGTGCACCCCACAGACAAGGCGATGAAGAGAACCAGGACCCACATGTTGACACAGATGTCCACAGCCAGGCGGTGAGCTTGGGGCTGGGGAGCCTCCCTGTAAAGCCCTATAAAGGGCTTTATTCTCCAGGACCCCGCCCCAGCCCTGCAGGCACCTAGATGCTGATCAAGGCCCTTCCTATGAGGCTGGAGGCTGGACAACCCCCTCCCATACCCAGAGCTGTGGAAGGGGAGGGACAGCCAGCACTTGCTGTTCCACACAATACTAGATAAGTCTGGAGGCATTCCCAGGGTGTGAGGCCAGATTGGGCAGGGCCTATGGATCATGGAGACATAACCTAGGGGACAAAGCCAGAGAAGGCAGGCTCAGGATGAAAAGCAACAGGGGTTGGGATGATCACTGATTCTTTTTAAAAAAAAAAAAGAGATTCTGAGACAGAGTCTCACTCTGTTGCCCAGGCTGGAGTGCAGTGGCTTGATCACAGTTCACTGTAGCCTTGAACTCCCAGACTCAACCGATTCTCCTGTCTCAGCCTCCAGGATAGCTGAGACCACAAGCATGCATCACCACATCCAGCTAATCTTTAATCTTTTGTAGAGAGAGAGTGTGGCTATGTTGCCTAGGTTGGTCTCCAACTCCTGGGCTCAAGCGATCCTCCCACTTTGGCCTCCCAAAGTGATGGGATTACAGGCGTGAGCCACCACGGCCAGCCCCGATCATTGATTTTCAATACAAAGTCTCATGTGCCTAAGTCCCAAGTACTTCCTTTGCACCCCAAGACCTAATATGCCCTGAAATATCAGAACCATGGGATTGTGAGACCTTCTGGTCCCTATACCAGTCTAGGTCCAGAAGCTGGAGCTCCAACTCACCATGTTCCTGAAATAGAAGCTTCGGCATTCAGTGCTCTCTGATTCTTGCACTTCCACACTCAGAAAATAGTTCCCCACATATATTTCTCCTCTCATCATAAAACCTTGTGATACCATTGGAGATTGGATTCTCCAATCCAGAAATACGAGTCTCCCAGGCCAAGTTCTCTATTATTTCGAAATCTAATGTCCACTAAACAATATGGGGTTCCAGTGGCTCCTCACCCCTCATTCTCCACACCTGTGCACTCTATTTGTACAACGGGGATTCCTGTTGACCTGCCCTCCTAGGTCAGAATTGTCCTCATGCAAAATCCAATGCCTGCTTCTCACTGAAATGTCTAGCTATCAGGAGCCAGGTTTATACACTCCAAGATTAAGTTGCAAGCCAGGCACGGTGAATGGCTCATGCCAGCAATCCCAGTGCTCTGGGAGGTCAAGGCTGAAGAGTCACTTGAAGTCAGAAGTTCAAGATTAGCCAGGGCAACAAAGTGAGACCCTATCTCTAACAAAAAAATTTTTTTAATTAGCCAGGTTTGGTGGCAAGCACCTGTAGCCCCATCTACTCAGGAGGCTGAAGCAGGAGGATCCCTTAAGTCCAGGAGGTCAAGGGTGGTTCTGTGAGCTATGATCACACCATTGCACTCCAGCCTGAGTGCCAGAGCAAAAGACCCAGACTATGTCTAAAAAAAAAAAAAAAAAAGAATTTGGGTGGAATTGAAACAAATCTCATTTTGGTGTCTCAGAAAAGAATCAAGAATAAGAGTCCTGGTGTTAATTCTTGTTATAAGAGTCCACTGTTAACTCTACAAGATTTCTTAGATTTTGGAAAACAGAAAATGTGATTTCATCCGTTCAATAAAGCCAGAGCAGCTTACACTGATCCAGACCCAGCTGTGGTAAGAGAATTGCTTGAAATGGGGAGGCAGAGGTTGCAGTGAGTGATATCACACCATTGCACACCAGCCTGGGAGACAGAGGGAGGCTCCATCTCAAAAATTAAAAAAATAATAATAAATAAATAAATAAATAAGGAGATCATTTTACACTCCCTCAGGCGATGTATGACAATAGGGTATTATCTAGAAAACGCTACAGGTGCACACTACCAAGCTGTTGGGATGAATTTATATTCTAGGTTCCACCTTCTTTCCTTCCAATATTTCTGCCATCCTTTCTCTCTAGGACTTTTAACAGTTAAGCTTTGCCAATGAAATTTCTAACTGTCTTCTGGCTTCTTGGCTTTTCCATCTTCCTCTTCAATGGCACGGTATGTATCCTTTGATCTGAGGTCCTTCAAATATTTTAAAATCCATCAGACATGTCTCTACTAATTTACTCTCATACTTCCTCCTTTCCTATTGCTTTCTCCTCCTGAGACTTTAATGTCATTGACTGTACTTCCAGCACTCACGTGGTTTAGCAGTTCCTTAAAATTTTTCTGTCTCTGTCCTTCAATCTGGTCTAAAAAGTCCCTATTATGTTCTTCACCTCTTTTCCATTCTGCTACTCATGCCTGATTTTTTTTTTTTTTTTTACTTTTTTCAACTATTATACTTTTCCTACCTAATATTTCACCTTGGTCCTATTTTATATATTGTCTCATTCAATGTACCTAATGTCTTCTCTAATCTCTTTTAGTATGCTAATTAGATTAACTTGTAGTTAAATACAACAGCAATTGGATTTGTAAAAACAATTCCTATGCAACCATAAAAAAGAATGAGATCAGGTCCTTTGCAGGAACATGGATGAAGCTGGAAGCCGTTATCCTCAGCAAACTAACACAGGAACAGAAAACCAAACACCGCACGTTCTCACTTATAAGTGGGAGCTGAACAATGAGAACACATGGGCACAGGGAGGGGAACAACACACACTGAGGCCTGTTGTGGGAGTAGGGGAGAGGGAGAGTGTCAGGAAAAACAGCTAATGCATGCTGGGCTTAATACCTAGGTCATGGGTTGATAGGTGGACCATGGTACACGTTTACCTACGTAACAAAGCTGCACATCCTGCACGTGTAGCCCGGAACTTAAAAAATAAAATAAAATAAAATAAAATGTAAAATAAAATAAAAAACAGTCCCATGTCGCAGGAAGAGCTCCAAGGCCCCCTGGATCACAAGCCCAAACCAGACCTGAAGAAAATTTCCTCCTCCCCTCCTTTCCCTCACCCCCTGTGCAGAATCAAATATAGCTTCATACTGAAGCAGTATAAAGTCAGAAAATAAGATTCCATTTTATTTGCTGCCTCAGTACTTGTAACTGAAAGGATCTCCAAGGTATATCCCCCACCCCCACAATGGGAAAGGCCCCCACCTGGCTACTTCCTTTATCAGTCGGGGCAGCCGCCCTCCACAAGGTCCTCACTCTGATGGTTTTTTTTTTTTTTTTTTTTTGAGACGGAGTCTCGCTATGTCGCCCAGGCTGGAGTGCAGTGGCCGCATCTCAGCTCACTGCAAGCTCCGCCTCCCGGGTTTTTACGCCATTCTCCTGCCTCAGCCTCCCGAGTAGCCAGGACTACAGGCGCCCACCACCTCGCCCGGCTAGTTTTTTGTATTTTTTAGTAGAGACGGGGTTTCACCGTGTTAGCCAGGATGGTCTCGAACTCCTGACCTCGTGATCCGCCCGTCTCGGCCTCCCAAAGTGCTGGGATTACAGGCTTGAGCCACCGCACCCGGCCACTCTGATGGGTTTTATTCCCTGCCAGCTTGAAAAATTTGTAACAAAACCATCACATTCCCCCACGGGAACCAGAGTTCACCCTGCCCTTTTGTTACAACAAAGTCCACCTCCCACAGTCCTTGCTGCTTCAAGCCAATCCTGAGTGAAATTCCCGTGTCATCCTGCCTGGTGTACAGTGTCCTCCTGCCCTAGGCTGTGAAGCTCTGTGGCTAAGAAACTCTTGTCAATCTATCTCCAATGCTATGTGTTAGGTGTTCAGACATCTTCATAACCTCAGGGTGGGAATTCCTCACACCAATGACGTGAAGAGAAGACAAATAAGCCAATCACTGTATCCCCTTTGAGTTCCGTGTGCTTCCTTGACTTTCCCCTATTTCTGAATTCCTCCTTCTTGGGATAGCCCCATGGTTCACTTGACAACAAGACAGAACCAGATCCCCAGGCAGTTTCCTCATCTTCTCCCTTTCCTCACTCCCCATACAGTAAAAGGTTGACTCAGAAGCCCTGCACTGCTCAAAGCCTGAACCTTCCAAGTACAGGGCTCACCCTTGGATAACTCCTGGGAGATGACATTTAATCGCTTGGAATATTCGGCCCAAGTGCTTTGGTATACCTGGGGCCTCAGGCCGTGCCAGATGATTCATGCTAACCATGTGATTCATGATGAATGCCTGTTCTTATACATCTGAGGCTCTGGGCCATGCTGTATCTGTTTGAACTCTGGGGAACCTCAGGTCTGAGAAGTTAAGGTCAGCTATTCCAGTACTCCGTGCCTATCCTACAGACCCCCAATAAAAACTCTGGACACTAAGGCTCAGGTGAGCTTCCTTAGTTGGAAATACTTCATACACACGGTCACACATCACTTCTGTGTGATTTAGGTGCTGTCCACAACACCCCACTAGGAGAAAACAACTGAAACTTTTTCCCTGTTTTCTCCACACCCCCACCTAGATGCCTGTTTCCTTTGCTGATTTCAGTGTGTCTCCTGTCAATATAACAAACCAGAATAAACCACAGTATAACAGCTCTTTATTTCTGTGAGTTCTACTAGGAAATCATCAAATCTGAGGGTTGTCTGGGGGACCTTGACACACCTCTCCCCATGGTGAATCAGCTTCCAGGGAGTCCAGTCCCTCTCCTTACTTCATCCCCATCCCATGCCACAGGAAGACCCTCCCTCCTCAGTTCGCAGCCTTCTCTAGGCTTCCCAGTGCCTCCAAGACAGAGTGGATTATGTTTTCAGCTCCATCCTTGCTGTGAGTGTCTGGTGCGTTGCGCCTCCAGCATCTGCTCAGTGCTTCATGGACAGCATCCAGCACGTGTCACTGTCTACTCTCTCAGTGTGGACCCCACCCCTCCTTCATCTCTGTACCCCACAAACAACACAGACACCCCCATCCTATCTGGGTCCTCAAAGAAACTGAGTGAGATGTCTCCAGGCATGACCAGTGTCCCCCAGGACACGGAGAGGACAAAATTACACCCATTTAAGAAACACTCTGGTCTACACCTGTGTCTGCTGATTTCTTTTCCTAGCAACCCTGGACCCCACACCTTAGGACAAAGGTCAATAGAACTGGGGAGGCTTGAGCCTTGGCCCGGTCATTTCCAAGGTTCCAAGTGCCTGGTGTCTAGAATAGCCAAATGATGCCAGAACTTGAGGTGGATTTTTTTTTTCGCTACAAGTAGGGAGTTGATGGGGTGCTCAGGGGTTTGCCATGATGGTGTCCTGGATCCACTTCCGGTAACGCACCACCTTGGTGTACAGGGAAGGCCTTCGGGGTAGGGCACATGGTTGACTGCCCCATGACGTGATACCTTGAAGCACACCGTCACAGACCAGTGGGCCCCCAGAATCACCCTAAGGGTAAAAGTGGGGAGAGAGTGAGATAGGTCAGCCCCAGTTTCTGCCTGGGCAATCCTGTCTTTCAGACCCGGACAGGCACATAACAGATAGCAGCTCCCAGCTTTGGGAAAAGAGAGAAAGGTCTCCAGAGCCGACTCCCAGAAGGTGGGCAGGGATTCCAATAGGGGGGACAGGGGCTCCAATCCTGGCCGATGGGGAAGGAACTTCAGGGTCCAGCTCCTGTGCAGGGGGGAGGGTCCAGGAGGACAGTCCTTGCAGACAGGTCAGCGGGACGAGAGCCAAGAGCATCTGCAGGATGCCGCCCCCGTGGCTCATCACAGAGGCCACCTCTCCAGGACTACTCTCTGACTAGACACCTCCTCTCCAGGGCACTGGGGAGCCATGGAGGGCTGTGAGCAGGGCTGGCATGGTCAGTTCAGTGATCAGAATGACCCACTGGGGCCAGGTGGAAAATGGAGCGGAGGGGAAAGACTAAGGGCCAGGAGCCTGTGAGGGGGGCTGCGTGAGGGCCCAGGTGGGGACAAGGCCTGGAACCACCCTCAGGTCAGCCCCATCATCACTCCGCCCACAGCCCTGCCACCCTTCCTCCTTGCAGTCTGATCCCATAGGGAGGCCAGCAGCAGTCTCTGGACACCTGAGCCAGGCCCTTTCCCGCTTCTGTCCAGCACCATCCCTAGCTCCTGACTCCTCAGAGGAAAAGCATGTCCTTCTGCGGCCCAGGGGAGGCCCTGCAAGAGGGGTCCTTTCTTCCCTGTGCGAGGCCATCTCGCCCCCGTCCCTGATCCCTCACTCCAGCCACGCAGCCCCCTCGCTGCTCCTCACGCCCACCAGGGCCCTCCTCCCAGACCTGAGCAGGTGCTGCTCCCTCTGCTGCCCCAGGTGCTGCATGGCTCCCCCATCCCCTGCGGCAGGTGTTTGCTCACTCCCATCTTCTGCAGGACGTCCCCTCCCAGTCGTACTCCCTACCCCTTCTCCCTGCCCCAGAACCCTTTCACCTCCTGACATCCTCCAGCATTTCTGCGTTGTGGTCCCTGTTCCTGCCTGTGCCCCTGACTGGCACAGGGGCTGCAGAAGGGAAGGGCTGCTCACTGCTGCTTCCCAGGGTCTAGGGCAGTGCTGGGCGCATAGCAGGTGCCTAGTAACCGTGTGCTGAATGCAGGGACACATGGACTGTGCCGTAAGAATCACCTATTGCCTTGAGGGAGTCAAGGAAGGAGGAAGGAGGAAAGGAGATGAGGCACAGGGAGGGGGCGTGGCTACAGCTGGGGAACAGGGAAAGCTGATGCCCGGTTGGCTCCTGGACCCCAGCCCAGAATTAAGGTCCCCACTCACATTTCCCCTCAAGATCTTGGGAGTAGGGATGACTCACCGAGCAGGTGCTTTTGCCGCCCATCCAGCTTCCAGCACACAGCATGAACTTGGTCACCTTCTGAGAGTGAACTTGCGCACACACATCATTGGAAATAATATGGAGGTCCACACACTGAAGTTTCTTTGGAGTCAAGTCTACGGGCCAGGAAAAAACACTGTTGTGGGCCGTACCCCACCTGGTTCCTTGGCCCCTCCTCCCTCAGACTCAGAAGTCCTGTCCCCTCCTCCCTCAGACCCAGGTATCTGGGCTCCCAGCTGCACCATCTGGCCCTGGCATACGTTCCTCCGGTTCGATGCTGCCCCAGCCTGAGGCGTAGCACGTGGTCCCCAGCTCTGGCTCCCAGGTGGGCAGGTCCAGGACCTGCACAGCATCTGTGATCTCGGCAGGCTCTGACAGGCGGAGCAGCATGAGGTCGTGGCTGGAGTCATCACCTGGCCCGAGGTATCGATTCTTCAGGAGGCTCATGTTGTAGAGCGGGTGTGGGAAGCTGTGGCTGACCTGAAACACCTGGCCCGTGTCTTCAGGATAATACGGGTTGTGCCGACCCAGCAAGATCACGCTGTTGCTGGGGAGGAAGCAAATGCAGGAATGAGGAGCGAGGATGATGGGGCAAGAGAGACGGGACAGAGGAGCAAGGGGGAGGCTCCAAAAGAGAGAAAGAAACTGCGAGAAAAACACGGGGTTGGGGAAGACACAGTGAGGGCCAAAAATACAGACAATGAGTTGGGAAACAGCAGTATGACAGGGTGAAAGGCAGATACAGAAACAGAGAAACCAAGGGAAAGAGACGGAATGTACAAGGACAGAGAGAATGAAAGGGCAGAGGGGAGAACAGTGAGAAACTAGGTGAGCCAAAAACATACAGGATGAGAAAGACAGAAACATAGAGAAACAGACATGGGCCAGAGAAAGAGAACAAAATGAGGCAGAAAGTGAGAAATAGACAAATGAGAAAGGGAACCAGGAAGTCAAGGAAGAATGAGAAATAAGTAGAGAGGAAGCCAGGGGTGATAGAGTGTGGGAGAGAAAAGGAGAGAGACTGGAGCTGAGTGGGCACCGCTGGGGAGGGGAGGCCTCAGAGTGGCTCTGCTGCTTTGGCGTCGGTTTCCAAGTGGGTAGGTAGCCTCGCCTGCAGGCCCGATGCTGTATTCCCCGCCGCTTCCCTCCCCAGGGTCCTTTCCCCCAAACCCTGTTCTCCTTCCCCCTTCTCCTTCCTTCTCCCTCAATTGCCCATCCAAGCTCCAGCTGGAACTAGCCCTTCTCCGTGTCTTCCAAGAGTGGAGGGATGTCCTGGAGAAGGAATGGAGTGAGAGGGGCCTCCTCATACCCACACACACACAAGCGATAAAACCCTTCCTTTTCTTTTCTTTTCTTTCTTTTTTTCTCTTCTTTTGAGATGGAGTCTCACTCTGTCACCCAGGCTGGAGTGCAGTGACGCGGTCTCAGCTCACTGCAACCTCCACCACCCAGGTTCAAGCAATTCTCCTCCCTCAGCCTCCTGAGTAGCTGGGACTACAGGCTCGCGCCACCATGCCTGGCTACTTTTTTGTATTTTTAGTAGAGATGGGGTTTCACTATGTTGGCCAGGCTGGTCTCAAACTCCTGGCCTCAGGCGATCTACACGCCTCGGCCTCCCAAACTGTTGGGATTACAGGTGTGAACCACCATGCCCGGCCAAAGCCCTTCCTTTTCTCAGGGTCCCCCCACGCCCACCCTGTGTGTGTGTTCACTAGGGAGAAGGCATAGGAGAGACAGAGACGCAGAGAGAGCCTGGCAGAGAGATAGAGGGTGAGACACACTGGCTGGAGAGGGACCAGAGATGGACAGAGAGAGGGGGGGATATGGAGACTGAAGACAGAGAAGAGAGGGAGAGAGAGAACAAAATAGTCACACAGAGAGACACAACCCAAGCCAGATACCAAGGGACATAATGAAAGTGACACAGAGAGACATAGAGGGACACAGACATGGGGAGGGTGGTTCAGCCCCAGTCCTGCCTCCCCATGTGACCTGAACCAGAACCTTCCCTCTCTCCCCCAGTCCCAAGGCTGGCCTTAGAGGTTATCCTGGGGGAAATGCGCAGCTGTTATTCCTCTGGGACACAGACACCCCCTCCCCAGACCCCAGGCCTCTACTCACCTCCTGATGCAGTGGGCAGCTGTGAGGACCCACTGGGGGTGCACCAGAACACCCCCGCAGACTGCCCTGCCACGAGAGGCCACAAGCACCTGCCAGGGTTGGGAATGCTTCTCGCACTCCCAGCCTCCCACAATCCGAGACAGGATGAGGGGTGCAGCGCCTGCAGATGGGGAGCTAGATCAGGGGGATCAGGGTTCACAGGAGGAACTGGGGTACTCGGATAGGAGAGGGATCTAGGATGTGGGTTTGAAAAGACATGGGGGCAGAGAACCAGGGCTGGGAGTCCTGGGACATGGGCAGGGGGAGCTGGGAAAGGCTGGGAATTCTGTCACTCTTCCCTGGGTTTGCAGGTTAGTGGCTGGGGCTGGTGGGGAGGCTTCATGCTCTGAGAGCAGAGGTGACCCCAGGGATCAGGGTAGGAGACACAGGACAGCGTCCAGACAATATCTTGAGTCTGGGGATCGGGTCCTTGGTGGTGATTTGGGGTCTTGGACTGGGAGAAGGGAAACTTGGTACAAGTTGTGGATTCTGAGGGGATAAGGGGTGCTAGGAACCGGGGATAAGTGCCTTATGGCAAGGTTCAGTTGCTGGAAGAGGAAGGTTTTGGAAAGTTTAGGAAGTCCCAGGTTGAGAAAACAGTTCTGGCCTGAGTGGTTTTTTGGGGTTTTTTTTTCCGTTTCTGTTTTTGTTTTTAGGTTTTGAAAAGGATGCAGATTTAGGGAATCAGAGAGCCGGCCGTTGTGGCTGGGGATGCTCGTGTTTTTCCTATGGAAAAGGTGGGCCACTGAATGAAGAGTCTGGAGCTAAGTCAGGGAATGAGGACTTCTCAGAGTCCCATTGCCGGACTGAGGGACCTGTTTGTTGTCTCCGGTCAGGTAGCCTGGCTAGGAAGAAGGACGTGGCTGGTTGGCATCTGGGTGTCCTAGGGCAAGAGCGGGAGGCCAAGCATCAAAGTCTTTGGGATGGGGTTGAACACTCACAGCCGAATGGGAAAAGTCAGTAGACTGTGATGGGACTGAGGGGCTCAGGAGGCAGACCAGTGATAGGGTCCAAGGAACCAATGGCATCGAGAGAGGTCCTTGGAGGTTTTGAGCCCCACAAAGAGAAACACGGAGATGTCCACGAACTTCCCGTTTAGTAAAGCAGCTGGGAGCAGGGAGTTGGCTGGGCAATGGGGAGAAAGTTCTGAGTAAGTGGGAGGGAGCGGGGACCTGGTGTGGGAATGAGGACAGTTCAATATGGAGGGGCTGGGGGTATAGGTTTGGAGTGGGACTGGGACAGACAGAAAAGAGCCCAGCACCCTGTCTGGGCTGGGGTGCTGGGTGGGAGGGAAAGAGCCTCAGCTTGAGAGTCAGGGCTGACTCCCCTTCCTGCATCCCCCCAACCCTGGCCCCTCTCACCAATCCACGTCACGGACAGGGTGAGGAAGACAACCAGAACCCACATGGTGACACAGCTGTCCAGGTGCAGGCGGTGAGCTTGGGGCTGCGGAGCCTCCCCGAGGAGCCTTATAAAACCTTCATTCCCCAGGACTCCGCCCCTGCCCTCCCGGCACCCAGATGCTGACCAAGGCCCTCCCCATGCTGCTGGAAGCTGGACAACCCCCTCCCACACCCAGAGCTGTGGAAGGGGAGGGAGAACCAGCACTTGCTGTTCTGCAATTACTAGATCACCCTGGATGCACCAGGCCCCGTAGCTCATGGAGACTTGATCTAGGGGACAAAGGCAGAGGAGACAGGCCCGGGATGAAACAGAAACAGGGGATGGGTACAATCCCCGATTCTTCATACAAAGCCTCACATGCCTAGATCCTTTGCACTCCAAGACCCAATGTGCCCTAAAATACCAGCACCCAGGGGACTGTGAGACTCTCTGATCCCTGTACCACTCTGAGCCCAGAAACTAGAACTTTTATTTCTCATGCTCCTGAAGTAGATGTCTTGGCATTCAGTACTCTCTTTTCCTTGCACTTCCAACCCAGAATCCAGTTCCACACATACATTGCTACTGTCATCATAAAAAGATCTTGTGGTCCACGGATACTCTAACCCAGAAATACGAGTCTCCCGAAGTTCCCTAGCATTTCAAAATCCAATGTCCGTCAAACAATGTGAAATTCCAGTAACCCCCCACTCCTTGTTCTCCAGACCTGTGCACTCTATCTGTGCAACAGAGATGCCTGCTGACCGGCCCTCCCAGGTCAGAATCACCCTCGTGTAAAATCCAATGCCCCTTCTCCAATAAGATACTTAGCCTTCAGGAGCCAGTTTATGTACCTCAAGATTAAGTGACAGGTCAGGCATAGTGGCTCATACCTGTAATCCCAACACATTCCGAAGCCAAGGTAGAAGGATCGCTTGAAGTCAGGGGTTGAAGGCCAACCAGAGGAACAAGGCAAGATCCATTTCTACCAAAAAAAAAAAATTTTTTTTTTCTTTTTGAGACAGAGTGTCACTCTGTTGCCCAGGCTGGAGTGCAGTGGCACGATCTTGGCTCACTGCAACCTCTGCCTCCCAGGTTCAAGTGATTCGCCTGCCTCAGCCTCCTGAGTAGCTGGGATTACAGGTGTGTGCCAACACACCTGGTTAACTTTTGTATTTTTTTTTTCAGTAGAGACAGAGTTTCACCATGTTGGTCAGGCTGGTCTCGAACCCCTGACCTCGTGATCCACCTGCCTCGGCCTCCTATAGTGTTGAGATTACAGGCATGAGCCACCGCGCCTGGCCCAAAAAAACTTTTAAAATTACCTAGATATGGTGATGGACCACTGTAGTCTTAGCTATTGGGAGACTGAAGTAGGAGAATCTCTTAAGGCCAGGAGTTCAAGGCTCCAGTGAGCTGTGATCACGCCATTGAAATAGAGGGAGAACGAAACATTGATTAAAAAAAAAAATTAAGGTGGCATGCAAAATCACAACTTATAGTCTCAGAAGAGAATCGGGAACTCTTAAGAGCCCTGGTACCTCCGCTGCTAACTCCATAAGATTTCATTAATTTCCAAAAAGTTAGTTATTTCAGCTGTTCAATAAAACCAGAGTAGCTCACCTGATCCAGCCCGAACTGTGACTCAAGAATTTGACAAAAGTGGCTGGGCGCGGTGGCTCACGCCTGTAATCCCAACACTTTGGGAGGCTGAGGCAGTGGATCACGAGGTCAGGAGTTCGAGACCAGCCTGGCAAACATTGGTGAAATCCCGTCTCTACTAAAAATACAAAAATTAGCCAAGTGCGGTGGTGCACACCTGTAATCTCAGCTACTCGGGAGGCTGACGCAGGAGAATCACTTGAACCCAGGAGGCAGAGGTTGCAGTGAGCCTCTCCCAGGTTGCAGTGAGTTTGCAGTGAGTCGAGATCGGCCACCATTGCACTCCAGCCTGGGCAATCAATAGAGTGAGACTCTGTCTCAAAAAAAAAAGAAGAAGAATTTGACAAAATCTTCCCCTGTTTCTAGCTGAGTGATCAGATAAACTCAAATACAGTGAGGGAGACAGAAGTGGACATAGATAATCACAACTTAAGACCATCTTACAGCTGGAGTGAAAGGATATACTCAGCCAGTGACCTGACCTCCTCACACGTGAATTAAGGTTTCCCTGGATTCATCCTGGAAAGGAAGTTTGTCTCCACTCCAGTGAGAACCTCGTGGATCGAGTGTCCCTAAGCATATCCTCAACTCATCCTCAATCAAAACCTGACCCAACCCAATTTAACACAAACCAATCCAACTGCATCATACACAGCCCCGACCCCATCAACCCAACGCAACTTAACCTAACAAGCCAACCCTTATGTCTTCCCTCGTTGTTTGATTCCCCATCAAACAAAACTCATGGCCACTGTCAAATCTGATAGCTACTTCCATGTCTTCTACCTCCAAAATCAAACCCAACCTCATCCCCAATTCAATCCCCACGGATTTCTGAGCCAACGTCAAAACAAATCTATTTCCATCCCAAAGCCATGCCATCCTAAATCACCTCGACAGTGCCAATCCCAAACTCATCCCAAGCACAATTTTACCCCATCTCCAACCCAACTCCAATCTGACCCTTCATTCTAACTGGTCTTCATGCTCCACTCCTATACCCAGCACATCTAACCAAAGAAAACCAAATACAACCACATTCCAGTTCTCAAGCCTGTCCAGAGCCTCCTCTCCACCCGTGATGATGCTCCCTGGGCTGTGACCTCACAGGAGTCCGTGCCTTCACCCCCTACTCCTGCACAGACCATGGTGTTCATCA